CACAGTAATGTCTTCCATCGCTGTTTTCCCTTTAACCCTGACCCACAAGCTCTGTGTTAACTGCTCACCTGTCCCCAGACAGTTCCATACTCTCCAGCCTATCCCTAACATAAAGGGCAACTCCCCCTCCGTGCCTGCCAGGCCTGTCTTTTCTAAAGAGTCTGTAACCTTCCATTCCAACACTTCAGTCATAGGAGCCATCCCACCATGTTTCTGTGATGCCTATAATGTCATACCCCCGTAGACGATCACACATCTCTAATTCCTCTTGTTTGTTCCCCATGCTATGGGCATTTGTATAGAAGCATCTGAGCCGAGCTCCAAATGAAGCTGGCTCATTGGCTTGGAGCAGCCGGAATATCTCTGCATTACTCCGAGCATTTATTATAGGTGCTGGCAACTGATTGGGTGTGTTGGGATGGAATGATGCCCCCCTCCCCCAACACATCTAGTTGTGTACATTTGACTTTATCTGGATTTGTGGGTGCATCCCTGGCATCTGACTTGTGATAGATCATCTCTACAATGGCTGATTCCCTCAGAGACTGTATGCCTTTCTGTAAAGTAGTCAACTTGGCTGAACGACTCATAACGTCATCCTTGTATGGAAACCTTTCTTTCCCTGCTACAAAGAGCTGCCTCCACAGGCTGAGGGACTGTTTCTCTCTTGCAGTTGTTTTGTCAATTCCCCCTTCCCTAGCAAGTGATCCCAGCTGCTTGGCTTCCCTACCTTCTAGTTCGTGACTATCGGCCCCATTGTCCCAGCCTTGGAGCAGCTGGTTGATGATGTGCTCCCCTAGTTGATTGGTAATATCTTTTTGCATATTCCGTAGCTCAGTTGAGGTCCAAGGTCGAGAAGTCACCTCTCCTTCTTCCTCTAATTCATGTGATAATGACTAAATCAGATGCTGTCCCGGATAGTAAGTGCATTGTTTCTTTTTTGCTTTTCCCCTTGCGTACAGGGACAACCGATATTGGCACTAATTGGTCCTCTGGTTTAGCTGCAGTGTGGCTGCACTCCAACCACTCCACTGTGGTTGGAGTGGCTTCAGTATCTGTTGTCAGGGTTTGGGTAGCTGCTGTACTTGTCACTGGGGCTGCTGTAGCTGCTGGTCTTGGAGCTGGATTAGCTGCGCTGTGTTCTCTAGTCAGAGTTTGAGTAGCTGCTGTGGTTGGAACTGGAGTAGCTGCACTGTCTGTTGCAGTCGGAGTTTGAGTAGCTGCTGTACTTGGAGATAGAGTAGCTGTGCTGTCTGTTGCTTTGCCATCGCATCCAGAGACATTTTTTTTCCCCTTTGAAGGTTCTGGGTAGTGTTGAACGGGGCTCTGTAAGCATAGGCCAAGTCCCAGCACGTTGCCATGATTTGTCCTTCTCTGCTACGACCAGCATGACAACATACCTCATTTAAATGTTTTACTAATTTTTCTGGCTTTTGCACTTGTTCACTGGTGAATTATAATGGCTTGGCTTGGAAAGGACCTTAAAATCATCTAGTTCCAACCTCCTTGCCATGGGCAGGGACACCTTTCACTAGACCTTGTCCACCCAAGGCTCTGTCCAACCTGGCCTTGAGCACATCCAGGGATGAAGCATTAACACTTCTTTGGGCAACCTGTGCCAGTGCCTCACCACCCTTTTGGGTTTCATTCGAAAACTGTTTCTCTGTGCTCTTCCTTTAGTACCTTTCCTGAAAGACACTTTCATGTGTTCTGTTTTAGGAAGCAGACAATGATCCAACAGGAGAAGCAGCAGCCAACACACAACAGACACTGACGTTTTATGAACTGGACTTGGGTTTGAATCATGTTGTTAGGAAATACAGTGAGCCTTTGGAAGAGCATGGCAACTTCCTCATAACAGGTACTGCCAACTTCACCACAAAGTTATTTTCCCATGGATCTACTTGGTTCTCATTCTCCAGGGAAACAGAATGACTGTTCTGCATTTTGGGAGTTTTGTTCATGGTAGTCTGAACCATTAGTATTGATTTACGGAACAGAACTACATAACTCATGAAGAGTTATAAAGCAGGGATGGTTATTGCAGCACTGGGTGCGAGGGGGATCGCTCCTCCTAATTTGCACAGCAAAAGCTCCACAAGATAGATATTTCTTACACACAAACATACATATTCATCAGATTTCACAAGCATCAGAGGAGATTATTACAATTAGTTCCAAGAACTCATTAATTCCATTCCCCTCCCCTCTGCACCTGCGCACTGCCATCTGGTGGTCTCGGGCCAGGGTCTTCTAGATGAAGTAAGAGGTATTCCTCACTATGCACTTTTCACCCTTAGCACAGTTTCCCCAGCTGGCAACCTCAAGTCTTATAGAGACTAGTTGAAACAAATTCCTGTCAGACATTCATCTTCTTGAGGGAAAAGGGTCTCTGATTTTAAGCAAAGTGTTTCGGCTACTTATTCTATTCTGGGTTATAGCTTAACTGGCAAGAACAAGAACATATCTGTTCCCTATGCTAAGTTAAGACAATCAATACATAGTTTGAGGAAAACTTATTACTATTCCTTGTATCACTATAAATTAATTGACCTTGGAGTTAGGTAATGAGTGATGGTTCATACATGGAAATGTGCAAGAATTCCTACATACAGCTGTGATGTGAAAGTGCTCCTCATCTCTTCATTGGGATGTATTCAGGATATTTTTTGGATTCTGAAGCTAAGAGATATTAGCTAGATTGCACGTAGCTGGGAGCAGATGAAAAAGCATGTATTTTTAGGTAATGCATGGGTGCTCTTGTAATAATATTTGAAAGGCAGTAAATGAATCCATGGACTTAAAAGCCTGGTTACAAGGATTGGATACAAAGCCAGCCTAATGCCTTCAGCCTGGGAAACCACTGGACCACTACAGGTTCCTCTCCAAGCACAAGGGAAGCTAAGCAAGCATGAAGGAAGCTAAGCTATTTGAGCATTCTTGTGTGCTTGCCCTGTTGTTGCATCTTCTGTAGGCAGCTGTTGGACATCCAATACTGGACTGGATCTGACCACTACCACTATTTTGAGGATATTTTGTTATGTTGGCATCTCAATCGAAGCATTTTTAAAAAGTACTCTTAATAGTGAAAGATATGTCAGGAAACAATCTGGTGGATTTTTTTTTTGATAGCAAGCAAGCATGCCAGTAACCCCAGGGTTGTGTTTAACTGACAAGTTGCTAATGTGGTATTTTGGGCATGGTGTGGCTTTCTAGACAACAATAAGCCAGGAAATATAAGCCACTTGTCTGAAGCTGCGTCCCTTTTCTCCTTCCTGGTCCCCTAGTTCAATCTGCCAAGACAGGCAGCTGTTCTTGATCTTTTGTCTTCCCCTTCAGTAAGAGCAGATTTGTTATGTAGGGTGATGGGGAGCACTGGAAGCTATATTGCTTTAAAGAAACCCAAAAGTATTCTGCAGGCAACAACTCAGATCTGTGGTAAAGGCTGTTCTCGTAATATTTCTTCTGTGTGTTTCAGTTCCTGGTGGTTCTGATGGACCTAGTGGTGATCTGATCTGTTCTGAAAACTATATTACTTACAAAAACTTTGGTGACCATCTGATATCAGATGCCCAATTCCCAGGAGACAGGTGAGAATTTTGGGATTCCTACCCTTTTTTTTTTTAAAGGTTAACTTTGTCAGTGCTCTGTGAATGCTTGGTATTTGCCTTTTGAGATTAAAAGGTGTCAGGGAGTCTTTAACGTAGAAAAAAGAACTTAAAAGTGTGTCAGCCTCTTGCCTACCTTACTGGCTGCATGTTATCCAGGAGGGAAGATGGAGGTGAGCATAGCCTGAAGTGATGAGCTTGGTTCATGTCTCATCTCTGATACTTATGTTGGCGATACTCTAAAGACTGATCAGGTAGTGCTGTCAGTGTACAATGGGATTATTTGAGATGGTGAGTCATGGTTGATGTGTGTGCACAGGTGAATTTGACAGCTGCTCTGTTGCATCTAAGACTGCTTCCTCCACCTTTGGTGTTGCAAATTGTTGTGTGCTTTGAACACCTGCCAAGGTTCAGGTGCTCGCAAAGGGCTGTATGTGGATTGCAGCCCTTTCCTCTGTGTTTGGCTTTGATACGTGATAATTGTCTGAGGAGGGGAGGGCAAATAGGATAGGAAGGGTGATGTTTTGGCACAGTGTCTTGGAAACGTGCTTCCTTCTGAGGCAGACGTGTACCAAGGGTAATTACGGGTGCAATGGAGGAGATATGCTTTGTGTTTAAAACCTACTCACATGCTGTCAGCACTTAAGGCACCTGAGGAATGGAAATATTTCAGTTGGTGAAATCGCATCTGCACTTGCCAGGTAGTTCCACCAATGACCTCTGCTTTCTTTCTTGACAGAATGACTTAGATGATCCGGAGAGGGGTATGATTTTTGTTTGCTCTGCTACACGTAAGACTAAGTCCATGTTCTTCTTCCTGGCCCAGACAGAGCAGGGAGATATCTTCAAAATTACTTTGGAGACTGATGAAGACATGGTAAGCATTGTGTGAAGAGCAACAAAAGCATTTATGGAGGAGTCTTTAGTCAATTATTTTGATTTTCTGAAGTGAGAAATATTTAGTTTTATGGGTTTATCTGTATAATGGCACCTGGTTTATGTGATTTGTAATAGTTACACCTGCAGTTGTAACTGGTGTTCACTCATACAGAGACACAGCACAAGGTTTGCAAAATCCTGTGAGAATTGTGCTGCAGAGTCACTTGGGCATATTTTAGATGTTCTGCAGGTGGTCCTCTCTTCAAAAGATCGGAAGTGTGAACCTGCTGGGGGGGGGATTTCAGAAACTAGTTCTGGAGGACTTAGTTTCTCTTGATCATAGTAGATGCTCTCTATTTCATCTCTTAATTGAATATTTATATGCTAAAATTGATCTTTTTTGCAAATAGAGGTAGAGCTGGTCTGTGAGTTGAAATCACAAGCTTGCAGTGGCTTGCTGCTGCTTGTCCTAGTATTTTGCAATGAAAAGATTTCTGCTGCAGTGAATCAGTTGAGGTTTTTAAGTAAATGTTGAATGTTCTTCCTTCATCTAAACATGTCAGTTTGGTACAAGGGGCGATTGTGTGCCATCTTTAAGTGGCTTAAGATCATTCTTGGAAGTTTCACCAGGGGCTATTGCAACCATATGAAATGTAGAAATTTGCTCAAGACAGTTATTTCTTTACCTGTTGGGGAATGGCTGGTGTTCAGTGAAGCAATTTTTTTTTTCTATTGGACAACTTGCTATTTTGCAGCTGGTGTGTTTTGTTGGATTTTGTTTTGTTTGTGTTTGGGGTTGTGTATTTTGTTTGGGGTTTTTTGGGTGTGTGTGTTTGTTTATTTTTTGTTGTGGGTTTTTTTTTCCTCCAAACTGACTCAGTGTTACCAAAGCTGAAAGTCTTTGAATTAAATGGGCAACCTGACTTCTGTGTTCAAAATTGGCTGCTGGATTTTGTGATTCATAACCTTCTGCCCTAAACTACTGATGTGGTTAAACCTGGCCCACTCTCCTACTTCCTTTCTTTGCAGAGCAGCTTTTTTAATTAAATCACACATGTACAGCTAGCCCTTTGCTAGTACAGTCACATCTTCCTCTGCTTTCAGGTAACAGAGATTCGGCTGAAGTACTTTGACACTGTTCCTGTTGCTGCTGCCATGTGTGTGCTGAAAACGGGGTTTCTCTTTGTGGCATCTGAATTTGGAAACCAGTGAGTAAACAATTTGATGTCAGCATTTTTCCCCTGAAACAGACTGTTTCTGTTCAGGGATTCAAACTGGCCCTTGAAATTACTGAATGCAGAAAGACACCACCTGTCTTTTAATGGGGTCTGTTCACATGACTTGAGCAGAGCAGTTGGTTTAGACTATGACCAGGGAGATTTTCTTGTTTGAACCCAAATTAGGTATTGTAGTGCAGAGAACAAAATATTACATTCTGTTGCAGTAGGTTTTTAAAGAATTGGGCAGTTGCAGTTCATATGGGGTCCACTGTATATCCAGATGAATTATATTTTAGTTTGATAGTTTTCATTGAACTTTTGTGTACTGTGGCTAACTCAGAACCAGATAAGGTTTGTTATCAGTAACTGTGGTCCTTTCCTTACCAGATGTGTACTTGAGGGCTTTCTCAATTCTCAGTTTGGTGTTCTAGGGTATACTAAAAGCTCAAAGATTTTGCACACCTTTGAAATGGTTTAACAGTGTCTGAGTGGGGGATTCACAGGAATGGAGATCTGTACTTGTTTTTTTTGTTGTTTTTGTTTTTGTTTGTTTGTTTGCTTTTTGGGGGGGTGTGGGAGGGTTCGTTTGTTGTTTTGATTTTTTTTTTCCCTGACTAGATCTGCAGTCAGCCACCTGAGGGAGCTCCAGCCAGTTTACGGGAGTGACAACTGGGTTGTATAAACCAAGCTCTCGAAGCCATAGTCATTTGAGCTTTATTAAAACCAGGAAGTAAACCAGTCTATATCTTGGGTGGTTTTTTGTTTTGTCATGTCTGTCCCCGTGTCTCCCCCCCCATTCCCCCTGAAATTTAACTTGTTTATTGTGATATTTAAGTTCATAAAATGGAATAGGGAATGCAGTTTAAAATAGTGAGGTGGGAATATTCCAGTAAAAAAAATAACTGTAGAGTTGCAGTCTTAGCCATTGGCCTTTCTTTTGGCATCAGCTGTTGGTTGCTGCTTTGGCTCTAACATAACAATTTTTGCAAGCCTCTGATTCCCTTTAGATATTTTGTCACTAAGACAATCCTTAAGACTAAATTTCAATAGCTGTATAATATCAGGAAAAATTTCTCTCTGTTGCTTGAATATCTGTCTATACCATACATGGAGAAGGCTACAATGAACATTGAATATGTCGTTGCTCTTGCTCTCTGTCTCAAGTTACTTGTACCAGATAGCTCATCTGGGTGACGATGATGAGGAGCCAGTTTTCTTCTGCCATGCCTCTTGAGGAAGGAGATACGTTCTTTTTTCAGCCACGGCTTCTCAAGAACGTGGTGCTGGTGGATGAGTTGGACAGTTTGTCTCCTATCCTGTGTTGTCAGGTATGTTGTTATCTGCAAGCTCTCATTCACCACTTAAGTCTTTCTCATCTACAGAGGAGTTGATCATAGATGTATGAATTTTTTTCTTCAGAGTATTTGTGTGTAAGCAGAGTCACCAAAGCTACATGATCCTAGGTTTCCAGAAATACTGCCCTATAGTAAATGGTGGTAGAAAAGCAAGCCTGCTAAATCCTTAGGTAGCTGCCTAAGACTGGTACCTGGCCTGGCAGGCTTTTGATTCCTGAGGTGATGAGTATATATCTGGACACAGGGTGTCAGCAGCAGTCCTGTGCTGTCCCTCAGCTAACCATCAGACCAGTTCTCTGCTTGACTGGTGTCATGGTTTAAGCCCAGTCAGTAACTCAGAACCACACAGCCGTTCGCTCATTCACCACTTCTTACACCCTCTGCCAGAGGGATGGGGAGGAGAATCGAAAGAATGTAATTCCCATGGGTTGAGATAAGAACAGTCCAGTAACTAAGGTATAACACAAACCACTACTGCTACCACCAATAATAATGATAACAGGATTAACAAGGGGAGAGAATACAATTGCTCGCCACCTGCCAACCGATACCCAGCCCGACCTGAGCAGTGATCTGGGCCTTCCAAGTAACTCCCCCCAGTTTCTATACTGCGCATGATGTGCTGTGATATGGAATACCCCTTTGGCTATTTGGGGTTGGGTGTCCTGTCTCTGCTTCCTCCTGACTTCCTTTCTTCCATGGCAGAGCATGAAACTGAGAAAGTCCTTGATCAGAGTAAACATTACTGAGCAACAAATAAAAACATCGGTGTTATCAGCGTTGTTGCCAGGCTGAAAGTCAAAACCACAGCACTGCACCAGCTACTAAGAAGGAGAAAAAAAATAGCTGCTACTGCTGAATCCAGGACATGGGGCAGGAGAGATGGTGTGTACTGTTGGATTGTTGCCTGCTGATGACACTGATGAACTTGTCACTGCTGAGCTTGTCTGGTTTCATCAAAATTCATTCTTTGTTGGTGTGATGATTGGAGAGAAGTTAAGGTCAGCTGATGGAGATTTGAGGACAGTTCTACTGCTGCTGGGTTTTCCCATTACTTCTCTGCTGATGATCATGACAGCACATACCTTCTTTTCAAAACCCAGAGTGGAGATGGACATGTAGCTGATAGACTATAGAAGTGTTAGCAGAAAACAGCATATAAGTGAGGTTATTAGCTGGTTTTCCCCAAAATTAAATCCCACTGAGGTACACACCTGACTTCCCACTCTTCCTGCAGTACCCACTAAGTATATCTGGGTCCCTGAGCAAAAGCAATCCCAGGAGTGGGTTTGCCTTCACCTGAAGGAAGTCCCATTTTCTGACTCAGTTCTCTCTGGGGTGCCATGTTGCCACAAAATGTGTTTCTCAAGGCCCAGGCTAGTGTTCTGGGCAGTGGCGTGGGGCACAGCGTATGTTTCCAGCCATGCGGTGGTTGCTTACACCATGGTAAGCACATGGCGCTTACCTTGGCGGGTTGGTGGCAGTGTGATATAGTCAATCTGCCAGGCCTCCCCATATTTGTACTTCAGCCATTATCCTCCATTGGTTGCATGATGTGTAGAGGAGACCCTGCCTTTGAACATCCAGCCCAGCACAGGCAACCGGGGTGCCAGGAGGAGCTGTGCTTCAGTGCTAATCACTTCTGAAGCAGGTCGAACCCCTTCATAGGCTGTCAGTATCTCTTTTTCAGTGGGAGTATAGCCGGCCTTGGATCCTCTGTATCCCCTACTCAGAAAGTTGAGGAGTCATTCTCGAGCTTCCCCTGGAGCTTTCTGCCAGAGGCTCCAGGTAGGACCATTCTCCCCAGCTGTGGTGTACAATACATTTGTCAAATCTGGCCCAGTCTGGACTGGTCCAAGGGCCACTGCATGAACTATCTCTCGTTTCATTTGTTCAAAGGCTTGTTGTTGCTCAGGGCCCCAGGTGAAATCATTTTTCTTCTGGGTCACATGATAGAGAGGGCTTACAAGTGGAGTATAATTTGGGATGTGCATTCTCCAGAACCCCGTGGCGCCCAAGAAAATTGTGTTTCTTTCTTATTAGTTGGTGGAGACATTGCTGTTATCTTGTTGATCATATCTGTGGGGATCTGTCTACGTCCATCTTGCCATTTTATTCCCAAAAATTGAATCTCCTGTGCAGGTCCCTTGACCTTACTTCGTTTTATGGCAAAACCGGCTATCAGCAGGATTTGAATTATTTTCCTCCCTTTCTCTAAGACTTCTTCCGCTGTATCGTCCCACACAATAATGTCATCAATGTACTGCAGGTGTTCTGGGGCTTGCCCCTGTTCCAGTGCAGTCTGGATCAGTCCATGGCAGATGGTAGGGCTGTGTTTCCACCCCTGGAGCAGTTGGTTCTAAGTGTACTGGATGCCCCTCCAAGTAAAAGCAAACTGTGGCCTGCACTCTGCTTCCCAAGGGATTGAAAAAAATGCATTGGCAATATCAAGTGTGGCATACCACTTGAATCCAGTTCATAATGACGTTTTAGCATCTCCGGTAAGGCAGTACTCAGTGGTGGTGTGATTTCATTCAGGCCATGATAGTCTGCTGTTAGTCTCCTCTCTCCGTTAGACTTTTGCACTGTCCACATGGGGCAATTAAAGGGTGAATGGGTCCTACTGATCACACCTTGGCTCTCCAGTCTACAGATCAGCTGATGGAGGGGAATCACAGAGTCTCAATTGGTGCACGCTGGTGTCACACTGGGGCTGGCAGGGATGTCCCTGTCACCCTGCTGCCAGCCCCTGAGCTCTTCTCCACCTTTCCAGAAACACTATTTCCCCATCGACTACATGGTCCAGGTCCAGTACAAAGAGGTGCTGAGGCCCTCCAACATCACCTGCCTGGTAAGACAGTGACAGGGGATGGCCCCATGATGGGGACACTCCGGCAGCCCACAGGGGCTCACTTGGGCCACCCTCTTGCCCCCAGCGCAACAGGACAGTGTCAGAGGTGGCACTGCAGTACCTCTGGTTCCATGTCAGCTCCCAGGCTGTTCTGAGGATCCATGAGGTGCTGCCGGAGAAGCACCCATCCTGGAAGTACACACAGGAGCTCTGCCAGCTCTTGGATGCCCTGGGCAAGGAGTACAGCAAGTACTGGCAGGTAGGGAGACCCTGCCCCCTACCCCCCCCCCCCACCCCAGCTCTATCCACAAACTCACATGTGGCCTTACACACCCCTTGCGGGGCTGCTGGGTACACCAGGTGCCTGTTCACACAGGCATGCATGGTACATGGACACAGCTGTGGGGTACATTCACACACAACGTGCGCTGTGGGCACATGCACCCATGGGTGTGAACACCCCCTCCCTGCATGGGGGTCTTGGAGAGATGGCATGGATGGGCTGCTGGGGGCAGAAGTTGGCACCTGGGGTGCAGGGCCATGGGACAGCATGCCCAACATCTGACACTGGTGATTCAGTGGCAGAATTCCTGCCTGCAACACAGGACACCTGGATTTGATTCCTGGACAATGCAACAGCTGTAGCTTTTGCAGCCTGCTGGGGTGTCCGGGGGTTTTCCCTGGGGCACGTTTGGCACCCAGGGGCACCACCACCCTGGCACTGTCCAGGTGCTCCGGTGTGGGTGCACGGTGCTGACAGGGCTCTTTTTGACTCCTGTGGCAGGGAGATGCTCAGGGCTTGGTGGCAGTGAGGGGCCCTGGGATGGTGGCAGTTGGACCCCCTCTGGCTCAGGGCAGTGATGGGCCCTGGCTTGGTGGCCCTGAAGGGCTGTGGCCCAGGATGACTGAGCTGCTTGGGGGTGGGAGGCACTGCCGCATTGCAGGGGCAGTTGCCTTTGGCTGCTGGGTGGTGGTGGCCTGTCACATCTTGGTCTGCAGGGTGAACCTGAAGTGTATCTGAGTTGTCCTGTGCCCCTTGGCCCCTCCAAGATTTTCTCATTCTGGTGTTAACTCTGAAGGCTACTGACAACCTCCCCTTGCTGGAGGTGGTGTGAGGCAGCAGGAAGAGGTGGTCCCATGGCTGGAGCCCTGGCAGCATCTGAGCTGTTTGTTGGGGTCCTCTCTCTATGGAGGGGGGTGTACCAGCCAGCAGTACCTGTCCTTGCTGCAACCACCCCTGCTGGGTTGGTGGGGGCCATGGGTCAGATGTGTGGGTTGTTCCACATTTGGCATTGGTGTTTCAGTGGTATAAGTCTTGCCTGCCATGTGGGAGGCCTAGGTTTGATTCCTGACCAGTGCAACAGTTACAGCTTTTGCAGTCTGATGTCCCTGGGTGGGGACTATGGTGACGTTCCAATGACCTGCTGACCTGGTGAAGCTGATTCACAGTTGAGACAAGGGGGCACAAAATCACAAAATGGAATATATAAAAACCTTTAGAATCAGTTTTAAGTAATATTAAGTTTGATGGCTTTGTAACAGTAGCAATGGAAAATTATTGAGGTGCATGATACATAGAAAAAAAAATAGAGTACAGCTAGAGAACATACTGAGAATTCTCACAAGATAAATTGTTATAGTTGGCATAGTTTTAAGAAAAACAGTCTAGAAGAACAGGACACAGGGATAAGGAGTATCTGGGAACCGCAGGTGTCCAGGATGGGCTACAGTTAAACTAACTGATAAGTAGGAGGATGGGAGGATTATTATGTCTCTGGTGCTAACGAACCAATTAAACTGGTATGAGCATCTACTGCGCGTGCTTCAAAGGCTGCCAGAAGTGATGAAGATTGTTGGAAGAAGTAAACGACCCTCAGAGACCACCACCACAATTCTGTACGCATGCGGGGAACTCTCTGGAAAATGATGTAATCCATACGTAGCCTCATGAATATGTATGTATGCCCAGGGACTATATAAGGATGGCTTGTATAGCAATACGGGGACACACGTTAGGAGGAGCTATCCCCCGTGTCTCCCGGCGCCGCAATAAAGAATACCTGCTTGTCAGCTTGAAAACTTTGTTGGCAAGTTTGTTCCTGGAGTTTTCTCTGAATCACAGTGCAGGCTTGGAGAGCCGGAGGAAGGCAGTACACCCCAAGGCACTGCTGGACAACTGCCTCAAGGTTATGCGGATGCTTTACAGGGCTCCCTGTGAGTGGGACCTGGGGCCACATGGGGCTATTAAAGGGTGAGCGGGTCCTACTGATCACTCCCTGACTCTCCAGTCTATGGATCAGCTGATGGATAGGAATCAGGGAGTCTCGGTTGGTGCGATATTGCTGCCGGTGCACTGTTGTGATCACGGCTGGCACTTGTTCTTCGACTTTCAGCAACCCTACAGCAGAAGGATACTCTGAGAGACCGGGCAAGGTGGACTGCTGCTCAGTTTCCTCAGTCTCCAAAGCAGCAATACCAAAAGCCCATCGGTACCCTTTTGGGTCTGTGAAGTACCCTCTCCTGTGGTAGTCTATGCCAAAAATGCATGGAACCTCTGGACCGGTCACAGTTAGGTGTTTTTACCACTCTTTTCCGGTCAGGCTGATTTCAGCCTTCGGTACTGTCAACTCTTGGGATCCTCCTGTCACTCCAGAAATACAAATGGGTTCCACCTCTTGACAGCTTGATGGCATCAGGGTACACTGTGCACTGGTATCTCCTAGAGCCTTATACTTCTGTGGGACTGATGTGCCAGGTCATCTGCTCCACACAGTCCTGTAAGCCTGACTGTCCCTCTCCTCCACCTGGCTGGAGGCAGGGCCCCTCTAATAGTGATCATAAGATTCTCCACTTATGTCTTGTATAAAGGGATTATAGTTCCTTATCACAGGAGTTTGAGTAAAATCAGCTCTGTCACTCCATCTGGGAAATGTGTCAACAGAAACTCGAGCAGCAGCTTTCTTGGGAGGATCTTCCTTGACCAGTGGTCTCTTCAGTTCATGCACCCATTCCTCCAGAACTGAGGCAAGTTTTCCTTCCCACTTTGTCATGTCTTCTCCATGATCCTCCAGGTAAAACTATAGGGTGGGCTGTGGTGTGTACCTCTGTCCTGGCTTCAGCAGTAGCAGTCATTTTTCTCTTTCTTAGTAGCTGATGCAGTGCTGTGGTTTTGACTCTCAGCCTGGGAAAAACTGATAACACTGTTTTTTAGTGGTTGCTAAGTAACGTTTACTCCAACCAAGGAGTTTGAGTCTCATGCTGTGCCAGGAAGGAGGGTAAGTCAGGAGGAAGCAGAGGCAGGACATCTGACCTATACTAGCCAAAGGGGTATTCCATACCACAGCACGTCATGCCCAGTATAAAAACTAGGGGGATTTACCCAGAAGGCCAAATGGCTGCTCTGGTTGGGCTGGGTATCGGTTGGCAGGTCATGAGCAGTTGTATTTTCACCCCTTGTTATTTCCCTTATCATTATTATTATTGGTGGTAGCATGTGGAGACAGTGTTCTCACAGGAGAATGCATAATTGGTGCAAAAACTGAATAATCCTGAAAGATACAGCAAGGCCGTGAGAGGCCCAAGGAAGCTTAAGCAAGCAAGATAAGAAGAAGCTGTAATTCACTGAGTTAATGAGAACTGTGGACTGTTGGCAAGCTTTCGAGGTCAAGTTCTCTCACCTGTGCTTAACCAATTGTGTGTTACTCACTAAGGGTCTTCAAGACATGTATCCAATCATAATATGCCAAATCACTGTAAGTGCCTGTAAGAAATGGTATATAAGGAGTTGAAGCTTTGTAATAAATTGGCATTCGCTGATCACACTGATCATTCCTGCGTTTTCCGTGACTCCCATGTCGACAAATGGCGCCCGAACAGGGACCCTCAGATTGGTAACTTGCGGCATCAAGTTTGAAGGTCCGATCAAAAGAAGAGGGGGCAGAGAGCCGGTCAAAAGTCAGCGCTGTGGAAGTCAGACGTCTGCAAACAGTGGAGTAACTGTGGGATCTTGCCCTGATCAGGTGAGCGGCCGGGGAGGAGATGGGGCACTCGCCTTCCAAAGAGGAACAGGCAGTGATGGAGCTCCTCCACATAATTCTAAGAGAGGACTGCAACATGATAGTGCCGCCTCACAGAGGCTGTTAAAGTGGGCCCGGGATAGTGGCTTTATCCCCGCAGAGCAAGCCACCTTTGAAGTTTCTGAATGGGAACGTATAGGTCAGGCGTTGTGGGAAGAGATTAGTAAAGGGACAAAGGAAGCCCTGAAGTATTCGTTATGGAGATTGATAATTGAGACTTTAAAGGAAATGAAATCGGAACAGGCAGCAGTGGCATCTGTATTCCTGGCCACTGCTCCTTCACAAAGTCAGTCAGAGGTAGAGTATATTTCTATGTCTATGGTATTTGCCTCCCCGCGTGGCTGCACGGCATCGCAGAGTCCTCCTGCATAGGGGGAGATAAGGTGAAACGTGCTTGCGTCCGATGTTCAAGTGAAAGTGCAAACGTGGTCACCTCCGACCCAGAGGAAGGAGACCCCGTATTGGAATTGGAACCAGACCCAGAGTCTCCTGCAGAACCGGACTTGTACCCTCCCCTTCCTGATCCAGACTCAGACGGTTCAGACAGTTCGGGTTATAGGCAGATGTGAGCCATCCTCAGCGATGGTCAACTGTGGCAGTTGCTGAAGAAATTAAAGTATTGGAGACAAAAGAAACCTCCAAACCCTCTGCCCCACCCTCCTACAATCCAGTAGTAAAGAAAGGGGAGTGGGAGGGGGGTGTTGGGCATGGGGTAGGGGATTACAGTAATAACCCTGCTAAGTGTTGGCGTGGGATGATCAAAGATGCAATTGTTATGGGGGAATTTTTGGCTATGAGTCCCTCGGCATTCCTGGTGTTTAACACTCCACAGGGGGGAAAGAAGTGGGAGGCATTGGATTTAAAGGCAGTAAAGGAGGCCCGTCAGACGGTAACATCCTATGGGTTAAAATCATCGTATACTCAGGCAGTTATCGCAAGTATTTTTTCTGCATATATCCTAGCACCAAGTGATATCTGTATGATAGCTCAACTGTTGCTTACTCCCCACCTTCAGATATGAT